TCCGATCAGATTTTATAAATGACATATAGATCAAATTTGACTTAATAAATGAGCAGGTCCCTTTTAGCCTAATATCCAAGTGTTTAACTTCGCTCTAAGATCCTTCTAGAATGTCTTCATTTTTTTTCAGCCTTGATTAATTCTGTATTTACTGTCTTGATTTTATATAAAATAAAAGCTTTTTTGTTCCCTTTGACTTATTTTTGTGTTATTTGTACACCCACTTTAATCTTACCTGACCTTTTCCTCAAAAACTGTTTCCCTGCCTCATGGTGGGGAATCTTCAGACTCATAGAGAGTGGGCTAATAGTTCAGAAAACTGTAATCTTCTTTTTTGTCTAGACAATTCCGTTTACTTCTAAGATATTTCTGTTGCAAAGTTTGGTAAAGGGAAGGATTTTTTTCTCTTTTATTCCTCCCAGTTTTTGGGGTTTTGTATTAATGAATGCTCTTAGTGCTAATTCCATTGTAGTGTAATCTGTCCTTCAGACTTAATCTGTCTATCCCATCTTGCACCTGCAGTTTATATTTTGCTTCTTGTGAAACAGTTCAGTCCTCTTGTTCCTTGAAAAATTCTCTTTCCTTCCCACGCAGAGAGTCTTCAAGAAAGATCAGTTGCCTTTGGATGCCTCTTTTGGATAGCTTAGCTGTCTTGCATGTTCAGCATAGTGGTTATCTGCAAATACATCTCATTTAAGTTCTCTGTTCCTTTGACCAGCTGGATCACCAGTGTGTTCTCTGCAGTTTCCATGCTGAGACGTCACTGATCATTAGATACTTGCAACTGGTCAGAATTACTCTTCTTCCTTTTTTCTAGTTTTTACAGTTTGCCTTTTCTCATGGGTTTTCAGACGTGCAGATCATGGCCTGATGATTATGGACTGACAAACCTCTTTACTTTTGAGTGACTAGTCTTTTCTTTTTTCCTTACTCATGAGTCTGAGGCAATGAGGCTGCCCACTTCTGTCTCTCCAGGTATCTCTCAAACTTTCTCATACTGATGTTCTCAATAGTTGTCCTTCCAAGCCACAGATATTTTTTTTCCTTTGCAGCTATCAACTGGGACTTTGTATAGAGGAATTTTTTTATGGCTCAGGCAGAATCATAGAATCGTTTAGGTTGGAAAAGACCTTTAAGATCATTGAGTCCAACCATTGACCTAACACTGCCAAGTCCACAACTAAACCATGTCCGTAAGCACCACATCTACATGTCTTTTAAATACCTACAGGTATGGTGACTCAACCATTTCCCTGGGCAGAAGTGTGTTTAATGTGTTGTGCATCCATTTCATGTCACTGTCTCATTCCATGTCTAGCTATCATAATTCTAAATGGAGAACTGCGTCAAAGAGATACATTTTTCTCTTAGAGCCACAAATGGTTTTCTTGTTTGCTGCTCCTGTCCAGGTATAAGTATGGCAGTTTGTTTGTTTACTAAATTACAAGTTCAGCAGCATCTCCATGCTTACGTGTGATGAATTCAAATTGTACAAATTCAGTTAAATTAATTGAAGTTGTATAAATTCAGTAAGGATCTGCACAGAGAAAGATAGTCCTCTTTCACTGTCCTACTTTGAGGTCTAAAAGACTAGCTGCAGAACCCACAACATAAAAAACCCCACAAAACCCCCAAAAAACCCGAACCAAAAAACACCTTAGAAATTATAGATTCCCAAGACCTTTGTGTACAAGTCTACTGCTGCTTTCTCCAAATCTTCCTTTTTTGATACAGAGGCTGCTGGTACAGATAATCTTGCTTGCTCACAGGTATTTTCTTTTGTTGGTATCTGATTAAGGGATTTTAATGTACAAGCAGTTTGCAATTTTGTGTATGAACAGCTTTGGCCCTATCCAAAATGCCATTAACTTACTAAGAATATTACAATTTACTAATGAGCATAGGAGGGAGAACATCTGTAGTTCATTTCACAGAATCATGGTTGGAACATTTATCAGAATCATAGTTTGAGATACTGCTCGGTAGCCATTGCTGTCTTCTCTTGTTGTTTAAACATTTAATGGTATCTGAAGTAGTCTCGGTAGTTACAATGAGAATATAATTTGGTGCAGCCCTTTACTAAAGCACATTTATCTTAAATTCATATTTAAACATTAAATTTTTTAGACTGTTTTTCCAGAATGAGAATTTACAAAGTCATGAAGAGCCACAGCGTGTGTATGAATGCATCTCAGTTTTCTTTCTAAACTTTAGTAGGCGGTGCTGTGAATCCTAGTAGTAATAAAACTGCATGCTTTTAAATAATTATTTTACATTAGTGACTTCTGTTTAAAAAAATCTTTTTTGCTAAGAATTCTGAGGAGTTGGATAATATTCCTTTTTCTCTTGTTTACTCAACTTTCTCTCTGTTGAATAAAATGTCTCTGTGAGTTCAGTAATTTCAGTTAGTGGCTTTTTTTTTTTGTGCATAAACCCCCCTTATATGGCTTCCCTATCCCCAACAAAATAGACTTCTTGCAGGAATTTTTAAATGGCTTTCGTGCTTTCTATATACAGTATAAAATAGAGAGTATATTGCTCAAAACAGGATTGGGAAGACTAATGTCCTATTTTTTGTCCTTGATATACCCAGAATATGCTGAAGGTTTAATTTGTACAGGTTGTCCTCAATGTTCATTGTATGATAAGGCTGTGGAGCTAAGTAAACATAATGTTTGATGGTTATTTTTATTGGTAGCCAGATGTTTAAATTTGCAATCGCTTATAATGACCTGCAGAGATAGGTGGTCTATTATTGCACATGCTAAAGGCTATCATCCGGTTCTCTTATTATTTCGGTCTGTCAGGCTAAGACTTGTCAAAGTCATTGTATGACATTTTCACTTTACATCTGTCACTGCAGTCAGAGTGAGTGGATGGTATACAATCTTTTTGCTTTGGTTTTAAATGTAAAATAGGTAGGTCATTGAGAATGTGAACACAGGTATTTGAACTAAAAGTTCAAGTACATGAATTTAGGACTTCACAAGCAATTAATTTTCAATATGCTTCTGGCCCTGTTTTCAGAACAAACAATTTTAAAAAACAAACATCTGTATTTACTAATTCATTTCCCCTACCCTCTAATTCTACAGCGTTTTGGGCTTCAAGATTCAGAAAGACACTCGCTTCCCAGAAGGATTACAAAAGTAGAAAGTGTACATGGAAACAATCCCTTCAAGGCTGATGTAACTGTCCAGATTGGTGAAAAAGAGGTAACATTCCAGGTAGGAATTAATATGTTCGTCAAACTGTATATGTTTTTAGATATCATTAGATATAATTGTTTTCATCTCATCAAGAATTTGACACTTACATTTGATACTAATGTTCATTTGCATTGAATATGTTTTCTTAGTGTAACATGATATTTATTAGAAAAGCATTTAGATACTGGATCATTAGATTATGCATACACAAGATTTTATTTCTAGATAAATTCATAATTTCCTACATGTGATTCATTTAAGTTTCTTGTGTTAAATAAATGCTAAAGAATGGATGAAGGAAAAGCCTCTAAATTTCATAATTTTTTATTGGATTAGAATAACAGAGAGTACTTGTGAAGCTCATGGTGCTACTTTCCCTTTTTGTTTTAATAAAGACAATAGTCTGTCTTTGTCTACACTTCAAATAAAATCTAATGAGTGCTTGGTAATGTTCCACCACAGGATGTTGGGGAAAATGGAACAAAAGTAACCAAATCAAATATGATTAGTTTGAGTTTCTTCCAATTAAGTTTATGGCCTGCTAGGTGGTGAAATAAGGTCTTATTCAGGAAACAGATGCTGATCTGAGAATTTGAAATTAATGTTGAATTTGTAGAGTCTAGATAGTCTGTAAAGGAGATGAATTAATGCAAGTCAGAGGGAGATCATATTAACATTAGGGAGGAATATCCTCAGAGAGTTTGTACCATGACAAGGTGAAAAAAGGAACAGCAGCAAATGGATATCTGTCAGACATTGATACTGTAGGGACCTGATTACGCTCTTTTTTGGAGGGGAAGATTTTTACTCTCATTTGACATTTAGGTGATACCTTCTGAAAATATGTCTTTGGGAACAGGAGGGCATAAGGAGTTTGCAGATGAAATAGTTCCCAGAGTAGAAGTAGAAGTGGTAATAGAGCAAATGCCTTAATGTGGGGAATGATTGAAACTCTCCAAAGTTCTGGTCAAAGTAGTTCCTTCACATTTTCACATTACAAAGTGCTCTTTCTCTTCCATGTTTCTCTGATGAGTAATAGATATTGGTAATTTTTGTATATATTTTGTGTCTAGCACAAACAGCCTGAAGTTTTGTGCAGACCCCAGTGCTGTAATTGCATTGGTTTACATTTTTTTTTTCATTAAGAGTGGGCAAAGGAGGCGTGAAAGAGGTTGTCTATTAGAAATTATATGATTTAATTTTTTTAAGTGAAAGATTTATGTTTGATGGATGACAGTCATTAGCAAAATACTACAGTAGTTTTGGAGAAGTGTAACCTAGTCCACACAAAGCCTAGAGTTATCACAGTATAGCTTATTTAACATTTTGATTTTTTTTTTTCCTTGTAGGTTCCAGCTGGGACTGGGCTATTAAAAAAGCATCCACAATCAGATACTTTCATAAGGACTTCCAGCCATAATCAACTGTTGGTAGAAATGATGCAATCCCATATGGTTAAAGATATGTGTTTAATTGGAGGAAAAGTAAGAATTTGAATTTCTTTTCTCCCTCCTTCCCCATGTTCCTTAGAACGTAATCTAGTTCTTATTTTTTAACTTTCTAGGGCTGTGGAAAAACAGTTATTGCTAAGGAGTTTGCTGATATACTGGGATACAGCATAGAACCTATCATGCTGTACCAGGTAAGTAAACTATGTGCTGATGATCATGCTTTAAATATGATCCAAAATATAGTATACAGACATTGATTCTTTGTGTATGTTCTCTCTCTCTCTCAGTGACTTTAGAACTACAGCTGTGTTCGTGTACAGCTGCAGCTTTTAAAATCATTGATAATCACTGATATGGGTTAAAAAATAAAGGATAGTGCAGATTTCAAAGAAACCAAAGTTTTCTGATCATTATAAAGCATTTTTTACTCTCTCTGTTAGAATGCTCATCTAAAATCCTATTGCAGGTCTAAACAGAGTGCAGCAATATAGATAGAACAATGTTATTACATATAAACTAGCCCAGATACAACTGTCCTTTGATTTTATTTACTTTATTGTGAATGTGAAGGTGATGTAATCTAAATAAAATGTAAGGAGAATCATTTAACACAGTGGTCTTTCTCCCAGACACAGAGAATTGGCAACTCATTCTGTGATTTGGCAGGACTGAGTGTCATAAAGAAAACTTTGTCTTTTGTGCCTTCTCCTTTTTGGATTTTCTTTTTTCCCTTTTGAAGTATGTTTTCTGCCTTTAGGTCAGAGTGGTGACCACTTGTAATTCATGCATGTTGAACATGTTGAATGCCTCCGGAAGACGTTTTGTCTTTCCTTTTTTTTTTTTTGTTTGCCAATATGCTATTTATCTTATAATGGAATTCTCCATTATCAACACTGTTTTATTATCATTATTATTTATTTTATTATTATGGAAGACAATTTCTTTATCATACTGAGAATATATAATGGGGTTTGTGTTTCTGAGGAATTTATGTTCCACAGGCTTAGTCTTTCTTCTGTTTTGGTTTTTTTTGTTTTTGTTTTTGTTTTTTTAAAATACGCTTCTTCTGTCAAGATTGCCTAATACCCTCTTACATGTTTATTTTTTCTGAGGGCTAATGTGTAATTTTAATCAATATTATTGATTCTGTGCCTTTTCTTTTTCTACATTCCTGTTTAGTCTGATGATTACAGTTGTGATGGGACTGTGTTGCAGTAGAGATTAAAAGATAAGGTTCCATGTTCAAAAATGTTACACCCTAGAAATATAAAATGAGGGCTGGTGTTTAAATGTAACATATACATATTGCATTCAATGAATATTAACTTAATTATTCGTAGTTGCTATAACAAACAGACAGTAATCTTCATCCCTTAGCCTAATTGTTGCTAATTTATTTGTGTTGTGTCTTAGTACAGATGTGGCTTTAAAGATAAATCTGGGGAGAAGTGTGTGTTAACACTGTTTGTGAGACAAACAGGCAGTTGACGTACTTGCCTTAGAATGGCAGTCATGGGGTAAAATGACAAGAAGAATGAACTGGAGAAGTCTTCAGAGCATCTGTGGGATTTCCAGGTGGTAACAAGGAGCTGAATGTTGTAGGTGCATTTTCCATGAGTTGGAGGAAGAAATTTACAGTAATTGAAAAGTAAGGGCAGAGTCAATGTTTTTACTGAGTAAAATGTAAAGTTTGTATTTAAAAAGATTAACACAGACATAGCAAAAATGGTTCCGGGAAGGCTGGACATCCAGAATTATACGGGAATGGGGTTTTGGAGCAGTCACTTATCTCGGAGTATGCTAACATGGCACGGTGGGGCTGCTGTACATTTAGGAATTTTCCTTTTGATTTCATCCAGACAGTGCTTTAGGCTTTCTCACAGCACTAGAGGTTTTTTGCAGACCCCAAGCTCTGTCATGCCTAACAGTGATCTCCCATAGCCAGTGGCCACTCAGTATGTTTGGAAAGAATTCTCAGTCTTAGATCTTGATAGAGTCTAACCTCATGACATAAACTGGAAAATCGGAAGATTAAGAAGTAGAATTAATTAATGTGCTAGTTTTTCACAGCAGAGATTTAAGATTTTCTCCATAACCTTGAGGAATGAAAACACTCTCAAATAAATAGGAAGTTGAGAGTCTCTCATGACCTTGTGAGTCAAAATACACCAAATATCACAGCATTTACAGTTGTCAGTGATAACTGGCAATGCTGCAGGGGAATATTAGCATCAGATTTAATAGAATATATTGGTCTCTTTCTTCCATCCCTTTGCTTCTCTAAATTTTTTCTAGGCAGCATGGAGACCTCCAAAGGAAGTGTCAGTGGCAGCTGATTTGGAAGTACAATGACCTGTGGGGAAAGAGAGACACTGACAGAAATGGGTGGGAAGTTTGGAGGGTTGAAACAGACAAAAAGTGTGAGAAAATAGAAATATTGCTGATGATGAAAAAAGAAAGACAGTCCATTTTATGTTTTCCTGCACTGTTGAGAACCTCCCCAGACAGGATCCCACTGCTTTTCCTTCCCCCTTTATGGCTTCAGCTGATAAAGGTGCAGACTCTGAAACTGTGTCTGCATACATGGAGGCAGACAAATGACTTGTGCCCTTATAATACGCTTTAACATGGCCAAGTGTGAGCAGATTTGAGTTCCAAAGCTACATAGCCTCATCAATGCAATGTTATGTTCATAGTAATATACCTGGATTCCCAGCAGCCCTGTTTCTTTCTGTACAGTAGTATATTAAGATAGATGTGTAATTTCTGAGCCAGAGCTGAGCCTCTCCAGCTAGCCTGCATACTTCTCTCTGCACTTGTCACTGTAAACACGTTTTTAAATCATCCCAGGAAAATAACTTCTTCCGCTTGACAAACCTGCTTAAGGACAGGCACACCCTAACCCTCGTTTTGTTGTATGCAATACAATATTGGGTACTCACCAGCAAAATGAGACAATTATTTGGATAAAAACATGGTTGCTCTTTTTCAACATCCTACCTTGAATTAGAATGGCTTCGCTGAATAGGAGCAGAAGACTTCCTTTTTGGAAACACGTGAGAAGAGCTGACAATGAAATTAGTTACTCAATAAACATCTTTCTTCCAGAGGGATCTGTAATTCCTACAGAAATGAAATCTAGGCCAAGGGTTTGAAGTATTTCCCACCGAAGTGAACTTTTCCTTTGGCTTCACCAAAGGGCAGAGGGTTCTGAGAGGCTTTTTGGTGATATTAGACAGTAAGGCTAAGGCAAATAAATAACTGTTTGAAAGCTCATTGTTCACTATAAATTCCTGTGTTAGACAAGTCTACGTAAGATCCACATGTGTATCTATACATGTTGATATTTCCTATGTACAATGTCTTACATAATCTCAAAAGCTTTTACAGGAAGCAGTGTATAAAAAAATGATTGAATGTAGCTGAGCTATACATCTTCAATAAATTTTAAGAATTTATTTGTTTTTCTTGAAATATGTAATACATATCAGGGACTTTGCATAGCAAAGTAATAGGATAATTTCATGACACAACAAATGTTAAATGTATTGATTTATACAGTAAATCAGCAGTGGAGGCTATGAGAAGTTTAATAATGCTGTAAATTTGGCAGAATTTTCTACTTTGGTTCAAAAAAGTGTCTTTTTGATTTTTTGAGAGAAACAACATATTGCCCTAAATTAATTTCTAAAATTAAGGAGGCTTGTATTTGTCATATGGTTCATTGTTTTTTCAAAGAATTTTTGCAGGCACAAAAATAAGTAGTGGGGCACTTATCCTTGGTCTGAAGGAATAGCACTGTTTTTCTTCAGGCTGTGTGATGAAGTGAATTCTTAGAATTTTTTTTATATATGAAATGTTTACTTTTAGTTTTAGTATTTCCTTCCTTCCTCATTCTTTCCACCTGAAGCTGATTTAAGGGCTTGAATAGTGTGAAAAGCCATAGCTCTTTATATTGACTTCACAGGAAAAAACCTCTAAAAGCTTTTATGTTGTGAGATGAGTATCAAATCTACCTAAACCAAGGGTTCACAAACCTTTTGAGCATATAGATCATCTCTTATAAGAACAGTTGGCTCAGAGAGCAATTCCTGTCTCATTTGTGGTATCTGACATTGTTATACGGATTTCTCATTATATGCAATTCCACGAAGGCAAATTGCTGACAAGGAAACTCATCCTGATTAGGAAAGGTTTGTTTTTAAGTTGTCTGTAACTGAAGTTAAGCAACAGCAAATAAGGAGCAGCAATCAGCTCGTTCTTTGTGGACTGGAGTTAGGGAACTTCTGGTTTAAATTTTTTAAAATAAAATGTTTTCTTCCCCCAGAGTTTCAGGGACAAGAAAAAAGCAATACTCAAACTGATATTTTAACAGTTTTCCAGCAATTTGCTCCTTTTCTTCACCAGCAAAAACAATCTTTTAAGCACATCGCTAGTGTTTGTGTACTGGGATGTTTTTGTTTCTAGGATTTTTTTTGTGTGACCTCATAATTTTTCTTTACAAATTCCTTCCAGTTTTTTATTTGAGAAATACTAACAAAATGTGAGTCCAAATTGGCATGAAAAGCAGGAAGCATAGATTTTTCACCTCAAAATTGCCAAGCACATGATTAACACTGTGAGCCATGAAAAAAGACTAGGCTGGAGGCTTGTATTGCTATAGCTGCTAAAGGCAGTTCAACAGAAGTTATCCTACTTGTTTTGTCTCCTGAACATAATTTTTCTTGCATACAAGATATTTTAGAAAATAGACAACACAATATAAAACACATAAGTTACAATCAGTGTTACAAGTTAAAATAAGCATTTTGTTTCACAAAGCAGTATAATGTTGCCATTGCTTTGCTTAAAATAAGGGGAAAAAATTAATTAATATACTTTTATTACCTCTCCTTCAAAGGAAGGGATTCTTATTGTTAGAGTATTATAACACTGTATCTCATAATGTTACATTTTTAATATCATATCTTTAAAATTCCTTTAGAGTAAATGAATAGAAACAATAAATCACTGGGCAGGCATTTAGCCGTAAAACAAATCCCTTGCAGAAACTGTGCAGGTGTTAGCAAATGATACTTTTTACTGCATCATTAAGTTGAATCTCATTCAACCATTTAAGTTACAATATAAACATTTATTTTATATTGTAGAAGATACTTAGCAGCAAAACACGCTTCTGAGTTTTTCTACAGAACAATAATACATGGTTCTCAAGTGGCTGTTGGAAATACAGGTGAACATTTCATATAGCATAGTAGGCTCCCAATCAATTCATACTGTACATTGTTTCATGCCTCTAGAGGCGAATTATCAGAAGGTTAAATATTCAGTTATATGACATTTATTAGCTACTGAATACACACTTCCAATGCAAGTCCTAAAAACACATTTTTCTCTGGCTTTGATAAAAATGTTTCATGTTCTCATTTTAGTCTAATTAATTAATAAAATAGAAAAGAGCAAACACAGCAGTAAAAAAACAGAAATACAACAATAAAAATATGGTCTGGTTTTGTGGATTTGACTGTGGGACTTTAAATTATACAAATGTAGAAGAACTGAAGGAACCAGCCTTTGCCCTGTTATTTTAAGGCTTTTAAGGAAATGTAGAAAGAGGAAATGATTCAGGCCATATGATGTAATGTGTTCTATTTTTATTCTTTAAAGTTCAAAGGGTTTATAGTTGTGAAAAGGACATATGCAAAAGCTACAGCTACAACAGTAAATATTTTTCTCATCTGATTTTAGGTTGCGCTGTGTTCACAGCACAGCCTGAGGAAGGAATTTAATCTTCCAGGTCACAAAATGTCTATTATGACTTTGTTGCTCTAGTGCTTACCTGTTATAATGGAACATCTAAAGTATGTGTGCTGGAGCATATGCTAGATTTTGCCTTTGGTTTTGATTTATCTGTTAAGCATTATTTTGTCATATGTTATGTACTCTTGATATTTTGTGTGTTACTGGCTTCTTTCTTACTCTGTCCTTTATTCTCTGATGAGAGGCGGAAGAGGTTTCAAGATTAATTATGAAATGTTTGCTTTCAGGTGACTTCTGTATGAAATAAACGACTCTTGTTTGTTCCAGGTGTAAATTGCTGCCCCCTTCTGTACACAAAGCTGTATTCGAGTTGTCATATGCTTGCGTTACCTTTAAGAGGAGAAAAAAAAGGTTTTTTTCTGTTTTCAAAGAGGTGATATTGGGAAGTCTAGAACTTCCATAGACTATTTAACATAGTATGTGTGTAGGTTTGTTTGTATATTCCTAATACTCTTTAGAAAAGTAATTGAAGATTACCTGCTGATCTTCTTTGGGTATATTCTCAGGAAAAAATAGAGTGCAGTTTTTTAAGGAGCAAGTGTGTACTTGTAGATGAAGAAAATAGACCATAAAGATATTCTTCTGATGAATTGATACTTACAGGATATGACGGCTAGAGATTTGCTACAGCAAAGGTATACTCTTCCTAATGGAGACACTGCTTGGAGACCATCGCCACTTGTTACTGCTGCCCTGGAGGGAAAGCTTGTTGTTCTTGATGGCATTCATCGAATTAACCCTGGCACTCTAGCTGTACTTCAAAGGTCAGGATGTGAGCACAAATAAGTTGCGTGCATGTGATCTGTTTGTTGAGCACATGCATACTGAGAAATTAAGTTCCTTCTGGTGAATATGACTTTCTAACTTCAAGAATACTGTAAAGATCAAGCTGAGCATTAAAGTTTCATAGAATATGTAATGCTCAGTCTTTACACACTTAAAAGCAGAACCAATTCTTTTATGTTCTTTATAAGTCTGTAATAATACAGGAAACGTCAGCTCTTTGAAAAAACAGGATGTAAGTCTGAATTGAAGAATGAGCTAGATTTTACTCTACTTATGAAATCTAAAAATTAGTAATATCTGCACAATGATTTGAAAATGCAAGATGTCTAACTTTTAAAAATACTTTAAATGCATTCTGCTTCTAAGTAAAATGTAATCATTAGGGTTATATGTAAAAACATACTTTATATTGATTGCAAAGAACTCTTGCTAAACATTATTTAATAATTCAATAGAAATAAACTTTGCAAAACAGAAGTAGTAATAGCAAATACTGTGTTAATAATAATTTATTCTGTCAGGTCAAAATTCTGTGCTATTTCACGTGCCTGCATTGTGTACTGCCTTTTGCAAACTTAAAGCACACCACCAGCTTTAAAAGCAGGTTGTAGCAAAGACGTTTTGTTCCTTCTTTTATTATATATGTATGCAGACTGGCAAAAGAGAGAATTATACTTGCCTGTTTTTTTCTCTTTTTAATCAGTTCAGCTTTGCCTTCTGATTTTTCTTCTGATGTGCATACATTATATCTAATCAACTTCTGCGTAAAAAAATAAAAGCTGTATGTATGTTAATCATTAAAGCCAAATATATTGCTTTAAGAAACAAAAGAATTATATTACTTGGCACAAGTATAACAAAATGGCTATTTCATGACAGTTATACACACTCTACTGGTAAGACAGAATTTTTTATTTTTAATTTTCTTGTCACACCTATTTAAACTAAGTTGACTGACTGTGCACTGAAACTGTTTACTTATGCATATTATATTACCACACCTGGATGAATCTTAAATTGGTATAACTTTTTCTTTTTACTATGACCCGTGTAGCCTGACGTAGCTTTTTAAAATAAATTAGTTGATATATTTTTAAAAGTAATCAAACACTAGATAAAGCTTATTCTTTCTTTTCAAACAGACTAATACATGACAGGGAACTGACTCTCTATGATGGTACCAGATTGATGAGGGAAGATAGATATCAAAACTTAAAAGAAGATTTACAGATCTCTGATGAGAAACTACAGGAAAGGTAAGGTGTCAGCTATGGCTATAGAATGCAAACAGCATATCATCCTGTAAAGAGTTTAATCTCTTTTTCCCCTCCCCACCCCCAAAAAAAAATAATGCAAAATGCTTTTCTATGAAATGAATGCCTTCTAATCACTAAGAGAAACATATTTCAAACATCAGTTTCCTCATGAGTTTTTTTTCTTTCTGTGACATGGGAAAATTATATCCTATTTCGAGTGCTTGAACTAAAAGGAAAACATTCAATATCCTTTGACAGAAGGAGTTAGAGATTGAAAAGAAATTATAAGTGCATAAAAACATAGATATAAAGGTATGTAATATTTAATTTTGGAACATTTTATTAAGAGTCTTGGAAGAGAAAGCTAAATCGAAGTTAAATACAACTTGTTACTTTCTTTTGCCTCGTTAGCTAGAAAGCTGGTATTTAATTTACAACTAGTGTGGGGCAGGAAATCCTAAGGATGGATTGGGATCCATTATGCTTATTCTTCTTGTTTCTTTACTTCCACTTGTCTGCTGGAAACATTCCACAGATAGAAATGTTTTCTAGTCCTCTGAGGCCATACTTGATACATAATCAAACACTGCTGATCAATTTTAGTTAAAGGGAGTGATGCAATCTAATATTTATTAATATGTAAGGAGCTAAGCATACTGTGATTCTTAAATGTCTCTAAACTCTGAAAAAAACAATGTGTTTTATGTCAGATGTCTGTTCTCCTGTTCACGCTGCAGGGTGTGCATGTGCCCAAACTTTGAAGAGGCCTTATCGGTTATAGTAGTGATGCATTCATGATGTGCCATGCCGTTTCTCTCAATTGTCTTGCTGAATAAGATTATTTTTCTTTGACCTCCTTTGTAGTCCACCCTTTAGAAAAGCTGTTTTTCTTGTACTGTCTGGTTGTTTTTTTTAAATTTCTGTTTCACTTTTGATCCAAAACAGTTTGTTGTTTTTTTTAAATCAAACCAAAACCAACAACAAAACAAACTTAATTTTAAATCTTCCGTACCATTTATTTTGATTTTTTTGTAGGTATGGTATAATCTAAGCCTACTTGTTGCAGATTGTATCCATGCTGCTAAGGCCATATACCCAGCTAGATGGGCATTTCCTGCATTTGTTTTATTTGAGTGAAGACCTCTGCATTGGGGAAGTGTGCTGTTTATCAGGATTTTAAGCTCAAACTTTTGAAAAGAGAAGCAAAAAAGCTCCAAGGATCCATCTTGGATGATATCCAATGTTGCATTGGACTTCAAAATACATCTGGTCATTGTATGAGTCTCCTTGCTGCTCCATGTTCATGGTCTTGTCCAAGGTGCTTTCAGACAGAATGGCAGTGCTGTGTTGTTTTGCTTACTGCATAGTACCCTTTAGTTCATGCCAGCATACTCCAATAACCTAGACAATTCATCACATATTCATCTTGACTGCTGCCTCTCTTCCTGGATCAAATCTCTCTCACAAAAGAATAGAGCTTTACATCTGTATCCCATGTCTCACTGTTTGTTCTAACTGTGCCTGTTTTGGCAGTGGGCTCCCTTATAACCTTCATTATCCATTAGACCATAAGAGCAACCTGGTCTAGTGGAGGGTGTCTCTGCCCATGGCAGGGGGGTTGGAACTTGATGATCTTTAAGGTCCTTTCCAATCCAAACCATTCTATGATTCTATGAACTGTCCAAGCTGTCTTCTTTAATGACTATTCTGCAGTCTCATCTTCTTGCTGTGCTACCTCTGTGCACACTTTCTTTCCCTTCAGTGTCATTGAGTAATCTTTTGGTTCCACTGTTCAGTGCTACTTGTGCATTGCTTCTGCCTACTTCTGAGGCTCCAAAAGTCTTCTTTTGGCTTTCCTTAGAAGGCTGCCCTCCTTTCCTTCGGATCACAATTTACTGCTTTTACCTAGCCACCTTAATATTTTGCAACATAGTGTATTGTGAATTACTAAGCTCTAAATTGTCTTTCAGCCCCTAATCTATAAATGAGGGTTGTCTGTTGTCTTAGACAGAAATGCATTTCTGATTACTACTTGATCTTAAAAACAAACAGAAATCCCACTATGTGAGCATTCTTGCATCTGGAAGCTCAGTGTGACCATTTAGCACCATCTTGGATACAGATGAAAATTCAGCTGATACAGTACCGAGAAGTCCATTGGGCTGAGAAACCTGCCTTCTCCTAGGTGAAGTGTTTGATCTGGCCCTGGTCCAGCTTTCTTCACTACTGACTTATTCAAAAGAAGCCAGGGTAAAGTAATACAAACATGTATCTGCTTCTTTGGTTTTGGCTGTGGGCTTCTTTGGCGTCAGTGAAGAACTCCACTGTAGAGAGGGTACTGTTCTCATCAGCCCTTGAGGATTTAACTGAAGGTGTCCCAGGACCTCATCCTGGTTTTGGTCTGTTACATATTTTGAAAACATCACTGCCTTTCACTGGCTCCAGGATGCAGTGTCAATAGTTGCTCTTTGATTCCAGGACTGCATTCCTACCTGCTACTCATCCTTTTCAGCAGCAGTTACCTGTCCCTGGAAGCTTCAGTACCTTCCAGTGGTGCAGAATGGCTGTGTAGAATTAGCCCTTCTTTCCAGACTTGTCAAATGATATCTCGGGTTCTGACAGCTGATTTAATCACAGACTAAGCAAACACGGTGCTAACATCCCTCATTTGACTGCAAGATTACCTTGTGGAGATGTTATATAGAATATGTTGTACCTTGAATTTATTAACAGATTAGCTGGGCAAATTATTAGTTGCCAGTCGTGACTGGGTGATGCCTTCTGTATCGATGAGAAGTGTTGTCTCTTTGCTGTGTGTGTATGGCTGTGGCTAGTGGCTTTAGCTGTATTTCTGATGTTAGGGTAAGAGAGCTTTACTTATCCTGATTTACTGGATTTGACTAAAGTAATTTTGGTACAGTTGCTCTTTGCCAGGCCTGCAGAATTTACACTGTCATTCCCAGTTCTGCTGAGACGGAATCTGGGATGTTTGATGAGTAACACATTAAGACTACTGTTAATTTTCCAATAAAGAAGTTCCCTGTGGAAAGTGGTTTCAAGTTTTGTTTGCATCAGAAGACTTTTTTTTTTTCCCTAAATACCATTCAGCCTCAATTCTTGTTTGTTATTGGTAATCAATATGCTACATAGAATACATATCAAGTTGCAAAAGTAACTTTTTATTTTGTTATTAACCTTTTTATTATCCACCTGATCTCATGTACTAACATGGTTCTTAGTGTATTTTTTCCTCTTCCTCTGTTTCTCATGAGAGGCACATCGATGATTCAGTGGAAGTGCGTGACAGTTTTAAATGTCTAAGCAGTCAGGCAGGACCTAAATGGAGTAGCTGAAAATATTCATAAACGGAGGAGATAGAAGATCAAGAGAAAAAGGAGTATTTCTGAAGGGCTATAAAAAGCAATAGCTGGAGACTGGAAGGCAGCTGTGGTAGGGAAGAACTGATACCTTACTGCCATGTGTCAGAGAAACTGAGAACACGGAGTACATGCTTCTTTCCCCCCCGCACCTTGGTTCAGCTTTGCTGTGCATGAGTGTTCTTGATTGTAGTGGCTGTAGTATAGTTTGCAGTTTCTGTCTTCTGTGCTACTTCTAACCATTCATAATATGAAATAACTCAATGTTACTCTCTGGTCCCTTAATTCAAGAGTCACTAATGAGGTGGCCAGTTGCTGTTTAAGTTACATAAATACAAATATATCTTTCATAATGGAAAAGAACAACTGATAGTGCTTTTTAGTAGACAACTTGCACACATTACTTCATTAAAGGAATTTTAAAACAGAATTTCCATTTAAATCTATTTAGACAAGGAGTACTATTCCTAACCAGTGAGCTAACGCTTCTGTAAACATTTTTTTTCAGTCTGTGTTTGTAGAAGCATTTGACACATCTAAAGATTTTCCCCATTTCTAAGAGAAAAAAATGAGATATTAATGGATAAGTTTTATGGGATCCCTTCTTCAGACAAGCAAGACACATTTTGTGCTAAACATTCATGCTGCTTTATGAAAATGTTTTATAGTTAAAAAAATAATATTTTTTCACAGTTTTAGTGCCTTTAATTCTTACTGCTTCAACAGTAATCATACTCACATATGTAGTAGAATAGAAAGGAGAGTACTGCACAGTCTGTCAATTGCAGTGGGCACAGAGTATGTTTTCCTCTATTCTTTCTTGTGCCAGTTTGTCTGTGGAGTTCTTAGCAGTCACAGTAAGCTGACATTCACTGATTTGAGGAAATTAAGTATTTTTGTTTGAGTTTGAGGAGAACTAAAAAAAAAAAAAGCTGCCTTTGAGAAAAAGATAGTTGGTCCTTAAAGATCTTTTACATAGAAGAAAGTGATAGCTGCTTATTCCTTAGTCATTTAATGATTGTATGATTCATTTTCCTGAACAGGTTCAGAGATTAAGAGAAAGTGCATTCAAGTACTTTGCATATTCAAGATTTCTGTATGTGATTTCTTCTGTAATCATCCATTACTTCACTGAGACAGATACTGTCAAGGTAGCACGCAGCCTTCACAAGATGAGCAATGAAGTGCTGGTTTGCATCTTATGATGCAGTATTTTAACCTCTTTGTGTGGATATCCCCCCACAACACACGTGCACACACACACACACAGATCATAAGTCCTTGGAGTGGTGAGCAGAAAGGCAGCTATTACAGGAAAATCTAAAAGTAGGTATATAATAGGATTGTTCAAAAGCTAAAAGAAGTCACTCATAATACATGGGTGGTTTTAATGCCCTGCAGACAGTGGATTGTTTTCCATGCGATTAGGTTGAAAGGGAACACACAGTAGATGAGACAAATGTGAAATGTGTCAGGGAGTGAATTTAGCAAGCAATAAAAGTTTTTGCTTACATAGCTTACATTTTCTAGCTTCTACTTCATTTTTTGTTGTGGGGTTTTTTTCAGTTTAGTGAATTTTCAGATGATCTGTTAATTTTAGACTGTGGTGAAATTTAAGAAAAAGAGCAAGAAAACAACAGTAGGTCATTGTGGTCCTAGTATTATAACAAATGCCAATTAATAAAATTATTCTTATTTTGACAGAAAATTAGATTTATTAAATCATGTTACAGGAAGACATGACCAAAAATAGTTTGATTTTGCAAGGTGGCTTTTTGTTTTTTGTTTAGGAGAAGCTTCAATTACTCAGAACTATGTCCCAATAACAAGAAAATTCCTAAAATCACCCTGAACAGACTGTGTTTTGATCTCCCTCTCGAGAGCAGTGGTGTTAATCCTTGGTTAGAATTAAACACTGGTGTCAGAAGAAGGACATGCATATTATTAGGAGAGTGCTCTGCTATCTGTGTTGCCAGTAAACATTTAATAGAGAAAGATAGAAACTTTTTGTGTTAATCAACTAACACCAAATCTTCCCACTGTGTTTGAGGCTCATTAATTTAAAAGGTGTCAAGCTTTTGACAAGGTCCACTTGTCCTTCATCTGCAAACAACACAAGATGTCAAGGATTTATTTTTTATAAAACGTAGCTTCATGTAGGAGCTCCATATTATATTCCTTTAGAAAATTGATCTGTAGTATGATGGAACAACTTTGAAGCTCTTCAGTTGTGCTGATGGAAGCTGGGAACTTTCAGAACATTGCAGGATTGAGTAATTTGTGGCATTTGTTTTAATAATACACTTAGCTTGATATTTTCACCATTGCAAACATCAGTGCAAACTATCGGCTTTTGAAGTAGCCCGATAGTTTTATTCATGTTTGCAAACTGGAAACCTACAGCAGTGATGTTGCGGTATATCCAAATCTGGAGAGTACGTCAATGAATTTAACTGATATCACCGAGTTAGCTTGCCCTGACTTTGCATCATCCTCTCACTTCTCCTCATGCCCTCCCTGGCTGTCTCCACCGTACCTTTCAAGTCAGGTGGCAAAATGGAGGTGTTACAAGAGAAATGTGTTCCCTTTACTAGGGAAAGCTGTCTGCTTTGTGTGTTCTCTTATGGTATTGCAGAAGGACTAGAATAGGTCCTTTGAATTTGGTGGATTTCTGGAGGAGGGTTATTTTTATTCTTAGTAAATGGCTGGGGGAAGGTGAATCTGAAAGTATATGTATTTGTCCTATCCAGTAGGAAATGTTTTCTTCTATAATAAGATTGGCTAATGTTCCCTGACCTTCTTTTATGCTTAGTGGCAGTGACATTCCCATTGGTTCCTCTTTCATGTGATGTTTTCAGACATCTATTTCTATTTTTACGAATCAGAGAGTAGCTTCTAGGCTTATGACTTTCAGCTGAGAATAACTCATGCCACCCCTGTGTTTTCTTTGATACAAGAGACTGTTTGCTGTAATCGTTCTGTTGTATCAGAGGTTTATTGTTGTGACAAACAGATGAGCCAGCTATGCAGCAGATTTGTTAATTTGTGTTTAATGGTTATAGTCTGTCTTCAGATTTTCTTGCTTGTGCCATCATTTTCACCCTCAGTTTAACCAAGAAGAATACTTATCTCCAAGTGTCCTGATTTCAGATGTAGTAACTTGGATAGAAAATTACATGATAACAGGCATATCTAGCAATATAAGCAGTCTAACTAAATTTCACTTGCTTTTTCCAAATTAATGTCTTCTGTTTTAATAAGAGTACTGTGAAATTAATTGTTGAAACAGGCCCTCAATTTGACTGGCTTTTGTATCTGACTTGTTACTCTCTATTATTTCTGCTGCTTCTAGAGATCATGCAATTGTGATGATTGATGAGTACCAATGAATTCCCAGTCCAAAGAGGTGGTAATATTACGTAGATAAAAGAGACAAAAGGTGTGAAGAAGGCAAGGATACCAAAATCCAAGGCAGTGGTCTTCTACTGCCCTAACCAATGCATCTGAAAGTTGTATGTTTAAGTTTGTGCTGATCACACTGAGCTCCCATTATCTTCAGTGGTATCAAATAGGCAGGTGTCTGAGACATAGTCACCAAGTCCTGCAGTGTGAACTAGGGGACACTGACTGAAGCTAGTAGGTCAGTTCCATAAAGATTAAAAAAATACTAATAATAAAAGTACTTTTCACAACCGTGAACAGCCAGTGTGTTGCTACAGGAATTTGTGGAGGCAGGTTAGATGAAAAAGTTCAGAAAGGGATTAGACAAATTTGTTGGTAAACAGACATTAAAGCAAATAGAGATCTACCCTCGAATGTCCTTGAGGATATGGTTGTGGGTGCTGGGAGAGTGTGAGGCGAACAGACTACTGGTAGTGGCTAGGCTTATGTGCTTTCCCCAAGGAGTATCTCCAGCTGTCATAATCAGAGACAGAACATGTAGTGAGATGGGTAGATTGAAGGACCCAGTAGGGAACTTCTTAAGTTCTTTTAAGTCTTAATCTGCTGTTGCAGGGACCTGTCTCACTGTGATGACTCTAAAATGAGCCAAGGGTGAGGTGACTGGCTTGGTCTGTGAAGTATAACTTTCAGTGACATTATGAAGTTAGGCTTGTTAATTCCACCCCAGGAGTGTAGGTGCTTTTCCAAGGGCAACAAAGAGCAGCACTAAGGGTACTGTTCCTAAACTGTTACTAAATTCAGCTCTTCATGGTATCTCGGCCTATTTCTGTGGTGTCATCCTTTCCATCAGTCTGAGTAAAAGAAGCTACTCATTACTGCACCTCTGGTAGATCCTGGTCTATCCCTGATCTGCCTGTGAGACATCCTTTAGGTAAAGCAGTTGTAAAAGTCTGTCAGATGAGTGAGAGATGTCCATTTCAGACATATGATGAAACAGACAGTAGCTTAGTTGCTGATATTTGTTCATCTTAAGGCTTTTTTAATATAAAATTGCATTGTAAATTATAAATAAAAATAAAAATTAAATTTGCTATTCACTACTTAAACCAGATAATGGGTTTTTTCAAAACTTTTTTTTGCAGGTCTATCTTTCCTATCCACCCCTCTTTCAGAATAGTGGTCTTAGCTGAACCTCCTGTTGTTGGAAGTAGTACCCAACAATGGCTGAGTCCAGAGTTTCTCACGCTGTTTCTTTTTCATAATGTTCGATCTTTAAGCAAGAGTGAAGAAAGTCAAGTTATTAAAGAAACGGTAAGTACATTCAATATTTTAGGCACTTATTATCACTTACCGAACATGATTATTTACTACATCAAAAATATTTTGCTATTCTATTCCCTATTTCAGTGTAGCATAAATGAGTCTTCATTTTCACAGCCTATCAAAGCAGCATATCTGCATGTATTTTATTGTATTAATAAAAATTTGCCTTCTTAGTATGATATTAAATGATGCTGTAATAGAAGAATGCTCTTTGTCAAAACTGTATTCCTTTTTGGTTAACATAAAGCAACTGCAGCAACTGTATGCTCCTTGCACCTGGGTGTAGCTGTGTATGGAACTTTCAGATCTTGCAGTAAGATTAATACTGTTTTTCTTTCAAGCAGATTCCAAATGTACCCAGTGTTGCTGTGGAGCAGTTGTTGTCATTAACACACAAGCTTCGGGAGACAAATGATGCCACAGTGAGCACTTTTTTTCTTTTTTTTCTTTTTTCTTTTTTTCTTTTTTCTTTTTTTTATTTTTTTCTTTTTTCTTTTTTCTTTTTTTTCTTTTTTCTTTTTTCTTTTTTTCTTTTTTCTTCTTTTTCTTTTTTTTCTTTTTTTATTTTCTTTTTTTCCTTTTTTTATTTTTTTTTAAATTTACTTTCTCCTGCTGTGACTGTTTGTTTTAACAAAGGCTGGGTGAGGCATGCTAAGCTATAGTGTTACTTCAAAGGCTGCCTGATTGGAAAACCAGCCCCAGAAAATTGTTCCTGGTGATTAGTGCAAGGCATACTGTAAACTTTTTTGATTTATGATGTACTTTTTTAGAATCTGCGTAAGTAACACTTTTAGGAAATTGCCCAAATCCCAGAGAAGTCAGGCAGAACAGTATACATGTTGTTGTTGGGTTTAGATACACGGCTCACAGTGAAACGTGCTTGAGGTGCCTTTTGAATAGGTATGGATATAATCATGCGTGTCCAAATATTTTTTTTAAATTACTTTGCTTTAGTTACTGGGACTTTGATAGCTGAAATTATTGGGGCTTTTGGGGCAGTGGGAACTACCTAGTCATTATAAAATGCTAATGGACAATAGCAAAGACTAAATAAAGGCAAAACTCCAGAACTCCTGGCTGTGCTACTGCTACAGGCTCTTCTGTTAAAGCAGTCTTGTCAACAAAAATAAGTTCTGCTGACATAGTAACCACAACATTATTTAAAAAGATACAGTCCAATCATGGTGAAAAGAAAGAGAAATTATTGCTATGACAACTAAAGCACTGGATGTTTTTAATGTAACTAAAATGTAAAGCCTTTTTAGTGGAATCCAACAGTTTAAGTGCTATGCAAATGTAATCCATTCTCCTTAGCTTTCATGATTTTAACATGGGTAATAGTTTTTTGCAGTATTACTATTTAAGAAGCTGAGAGAGGCTGTTTTGCTCTTCTGAGCTTAAAAAAAACTAAGGAAAAAGCTTGACTTTTAGGTACACTTTTGGGACAGCATTATTATCTATTTAGCTTCCTACACCTAATGTACACAAGTATTGTTTTTGATATACTTGGAGACATACCATGCCTGAACAGAGAATTGTAAAAATATTTTCCAAATATGTGGATGTCTATAGCATTGTGAAATATCTAAATGTGATGTTGGATAAGAAGTGAGTCACCGTACGGATGGAGGGAGGATTCTTGTAAATCAGCAGTGACATGAGACATGTTGGGAATAGCACGCCTGTGTGGAGAGCTGAAATGTGTGCCTTAGGTATGTCAGGCTATTTATAGAGTTGCCTAAGTAAGTCCCCCGCCAGAGATAATCCTGAAATATTAACCATTGTTGAAAGTGATTTTGTTAACAATAGAATACCTGTAAAATACTCAGCCTGTGGGCGTTGTCTGCGTCATTGTAATTGTTTGCTTGATTTACAACAGAATCTAGAGACCACAATCAAGATCCTGTTGGATTAGATGCCTCGTAGATGTTTATTACAAAGACTATCAGTAACTCAATTTTGAGTTTACGGTTGTTCAGTATAAAATATAAAAAAAAAAAAAACAGTTAAGAGAAAAGAGGGAGTTTTGTTCCCAGAACTTCAGTTGCCAGTTGCAAATATTTGGATGTGATACAGCTTTTCCTTTGGATCTGTCCTCTATGCTTATTTATTCTGCTGCAGGATTTGATGCTGTATACAATTTAGGCTTTAAAACGCCCATGTCCTTAGAGATTGGATTTATCAAGGTGGTACAATGTGTGAAATACACTACCTCAGTTACTGTGTCCAGCTGCCATTCTCCATCAGTCCCATAGGCTGTGATTTAGGAGGATTGCTTACCTGCCAAAATGTACTCTACTTGGGAACCTTTCAGTTGTTTGATACTTCTGGAAGTAGAACTATAGTCTCCAAGGCAGCGAGGGTTCTGGTTAGTGAGCAAGGATAACGAGGATGCAGTGCTCACCTTTCCCCCTTGCTGATGCTTCACACATGGCTGAGTAGGTCTTGAAATAACACATGAAATGCCATAATTTACATCACAGTGGCCATAATGCTGGGTTGTAAACTATGGTGGTTCAGAAGATGCTTCACAATCTCCCGTCAATAAAAGCAGGTGGAGCAAGAGTAGTAGTCTTTGCAGTTATCCCAATCTAAATCATTCTTGCTCAAAGCTATGTTAAAAAATATTATCCTTTGCTTTCTCAGCATTCAAGAAAAGTTTTGCAAAATTTCACAGAACTGATTAAAAAAAAATTAAAAAGATAATGCATGTTTGTCAAAACTGCAGCTTTCCATGGGAAAGAAATGATGTTAAGATATTTCTCATGCTTTAAAATTATTAAAAGGGAAAAAAAAAAAGCTCTGAAATTAATGGGGTGTTACTTTTCTCTGTTTTTTTCCCTGGACGACAAGTTTCAGGATTTTTTTTCCAACTGCAAGAGCATACTATATTAAGATAATTGTAATACAGATAGAAATAATTTATATGAACCGAAACAAAAAGTTTTGAAATTACCTAATTAAAATATTTCACTTGACCCAGGCAAAGCATGGCGTGACTTATCAGATCACTCTCATTGTTGTGTGTTTCCTGCTAAAATAAGGAACCTATTTGTATTAGAAACCTTCATCCGGTAGATATAATTATGGAATGATTTCTTTCTCAGTCTTTATATCTCTTTAAATACATGGTCACTTCTTTTGGGGTTTTGTTTGTTTGTTGGTTTTTAAAATCTTGTTGCATTTGTTTGAGGACTGCCTTCCCAGACATTCAATAATTTTTATAACTCTTTGCTGAATCATGTCCAGTTTTTAGCATTTATTTTAACATGTGGACAACAGAAAAGGACACAGTGTTCCAGTAATGACCCACCCAGAAGGCGTGTGCAGAGGTGATACAATCTCCTTACTGCTGCCCAGTGTTGTCTTGTTTATATGTCCAAGAATCCTGCCAGACCCTTTTGCCAGAGCCATACATGTGGAGCTCATACTCAGTTTGTGAAGAGCAGATGAGTTTTTAGGACATTGATCCTTTTACAGTGGCTGGCCTCCTTGTTATTGTTAATATTGTTAAGTGCTAGGTTTCATATAGCAAATAAATCTCAGTTATCAGCACATTTTTCTTCCTGTTGCTTATCAAGTGAAATCATAAGGCTAATCTTTTGTTGACATCATGATTTCCGTGGCAGTGAATTACTGCACCAAATACAGAATTACAAGCTTGCGAATTAAAAAGCACAAGCTGTTGTAAGAGGCAGAAGGCACCTATGAATCAGGAGAGAAGTTGAAATAATTCCTTTTGGGTCACTTTTTTTGCCTAACTTGTTTGGTTTAAATCCCTGAGATCCAGTCCTAGAGATGAAATAGTTAAACTACCTTGTATTTTTTGACAGGCACAATCACTGGCTTCTTCTTTATCTACTCGACAATTATTGCGAATTTGTCGTCGCCTGTCGCAACATCCAGATGAAAGCCTTTACTATGCTGTTAATAAAGCCTGCCTTTCCAGGTAGAAGTGCTAGTTTTGGTGGAAGTTCAAGAGCTTCTTGGTCAGTTGCTAACATGCAAGATAGCTTTTAATGGGTTTTAGTAGATAATACAGTCTCTGTCTTGCTCCTTAAAAGTCTGTAATTTCTTTAGAAGTATTTCCGTGGTATTCTCAAACCGAGGAGGTAAATAGAAATGGCTTTGTACTCTTTTCTCATTTTTATGAAGAAGTTTAATGACATGCAAATTAGGTCACCTTTGTTGACATTATTTCACTATTTCAAAACACTCAAAGTGGAATTATAGTAGTGTCTAGCACGGTGATGCTTGGTGGAGGTTTGGTTTCAGTTCTGAAAACCTGTATCTAGAAAAGTTATGAACATCCTGGGGTTTGTTCTTTTCTCAAAAGAAAGCAAATTCTAAAAAAAAGGTTTGTAAAACTGAATGGGCCGAGTTCTGGACACCCCAGAGTTCACTCTTTCTCTTTGGAACCTGGGGTCCAAGTGAGCTGAGTCAAGAGAAAAGGTATTTCCGAAAAAACATTGTTTCTATTGTAGCTGATATTGGCAGTGGAACTAGGAGATTACACACTTCCAGTCCTAATCCATCCTACGTTACAACCCTGTTGCAATATTTGATAACACTGAAGCCTTTTAAAATGAGACACAACCACTGATGTAGTTAGTTACCTGTGCCAGAAGTTTGATTTCTCTCCTTAGGGATAGGTAAAATGTTGAAGGCTATTTAAGTGTGAAAGGAATAGTCATTCAGGGTTTGAAAATTCAAGTGAAGCTTCATACTGATTTTAGATTACAGAAAGTACTGAAAGCATTAAGAAAATTTCCTTAAAGTGCAACCTCCCTATTATTTTTCTTCATTTAGGTTTTTACCAAACCTTGCCAGATCGGCTTTACATAAAAATCTGCAGGATTCTGGTATTGAGACAAGTCGAGATGACATGAACAAACTAGAGGAAAAAGATTACACCTGTAAGCTTCTGTCATTTGTTTTCTTACTCTTCATTAATGTTGAGCATATAAAGTGTATTATTTATCCTCAAAATTAAATGTAGTTTGCTTAAGTTGTATCTCTTTGGCTTTGCTCTATCAGAATGCAGTGCTGCTCTCAGTATGTTGACGTTTTTATATTGTTTGCTGTATTCACAGCTCATGGAATTTAGTTCTCCATCATGTTTAGAGATTTCCCGGTCTATAAGATCCATGTCCTCAGGCTTTCTTTCTTTCTTTCTTTCTTTCTTTCTTTCTTGGACTGCCTCTTTTCTTTTTTCCCTTCCCCTCCCACTTCTCCTTCCCCTTCCCTTTTCCTTCCCTTCTTAAAATTTAGTTTAGAATTAGAGGGGTAAAGGGAAGGAGACTCATGGGTTGAGATGAGAACAATTTAATAACTAAACTACAATAAAATTGAAAATAAAAATGGTAATAATAATATGGACAAATATAAAAATGAGTGATACACAGGGTAACTGGTCAACACCCAGTGACCAAGACTCAGCCTGTTCCTGGCTAGCAATCCAGGAGGAGGGAGAGTCCCAAAACCGTAATCCCAAAGAAGATATAAGAGCCCAAACATCCAAGAGACTGAGAGCCTGAGACGACCCTGAAAAAGGGGTGAGCCAAAGAGAGAGAGAAGGGCGACCCTGAGAGAGAGCAAGAAAACTTCCGGACAGATCCTCACCTATATACTGGGCATGACATGCATGATATGGAATATACCATTGGCCAATTTGTGTCTCACTCCTAAACCTGAGGTAGAATCCTAGGCTAGACTCTGGGGCTGTGCTCCCTCCCAGCTTCTCCTGCACCTGCAGACACTGGCACAGCAGAGAGGCTGAAAAGTCCTTGACTGTCCTGGCAGCAACTATAAACATCAGTATGTTATCAGCCTTCTCAGCACAAATCCAAAACAGAGCCTCTCACTAGCTGCTACAAAGAAAGTTAACTCTGTCCCAGCCAAAACCAGGACAAACATCTTGTTAACAGGTGCTCTTTCAAGAATTGTCTTTCTCTAGATAGAAATAATTTACTGCAGCCCACAGCCTTGTTAAAATTTGTACATTGTCACTTGCAAGGTTTGGGGATTGATGACGTGTCGGCTCAGAGGATACTGTAAGTAATGCATTTGCTTGTTTCCTGAAAAACGTCTAGGTGAAATAAAGAATGGGATTCTGAAGATAGGGTCTGTGATGATGCCGATTTATAACTCAACTGAGAAAATGAAAGTGCCCGACGTTTTGTTTTATGAAAATGCACAAGTAAGTACAAATCTCTGTCTTCTGAACTACAAAAAGTTTGTTAAATGTGTACTAATGTGCATGCTCATATGTATTAAATAATATACTAACTAAGTTTTAAGGGTATACTTCTGAAGTAGTTTCTTTAGGCTAAAAATTTTTCTCACAGGATTTGATGCCCATTTCAGTTGTGTCTTCACTATCCCTTTTAGAAGAGATTGTAACAATCCTGTTGAACATTCATGAAATATGAGGTAACAGCAACTGAAACTGAATTTTATTTAGAGTTATTTGATCAAATGTTGTGCTGAATGGTTTTTGGTTTTTTTGCTACTGCTGGACTCTTAGGGCTGGTTTATTGATTCCACCCAGAGACCGTGTTTTACAGGCTTGTTGCATGAAGTTGTACCTGCCTTTTATTAGAATGAACACTGCATGTTTGAAAAGCAAGGTGAAGAGTAATTAGTTAATTGGTTATTACTTAAGTGGTTATTAATAATTTATTTTAATTAGCGTAGCTTATTAATTAATCATTAGTGTTATTAGTGTTAATTAGTTTGTACTAGTGAAGAGTAAGAGTGATTAGTGAACGTGATAAAAGGGAAGGGCTTGGTGACTGTGGTTTTTTGGTTTTTGTTTCCCCCCCAGCCCTTTTGTAGAGGTGGGTGTACTGCACCTTTCTTCTCCATCTAGCGTGGAATTCTCAAAACTGTCAGACAATGGTATCCTTAGCAAGAGAATTACCCTCTGACTTAACTGTTAGAATACTTTGCCACTGAAAGGCAACACTGATACCTTGATCTTATGAAATATTTCTCTTTTAGGAGCCTGGTGTAAATCATAGAATGGTTTGGGTTGGAAGGGGCCTTAAAGATCACTGAGTTCCAACCCCCCTGCCATGGGCAGGGACACCCTCCACTAGACCAGGTTGCTCAAAGCCTCATCCAGCCTGGCCTTGAACACCTCCAGGGATGGGGCATCCACAACTTCCCTGGGCAACCTGTGCCAGTGTCTCACCCCCCTCACAGTAAAGAATTTCTTCCCAATATCTAGTCTTCATCTGCCCTCTTCCAGTTTAAATCCATTGCCCCTCGTCCTGTGCTGTGTGGATTTGCTTACTTTTCCTTTCTTATTCTTTTTTCCTCCCTCACTTGCAATTTCTCCACGGAAAGACTATGCTACGTGGGTATCACCTACTGAAGGTGATGACAGGCTGTGCAAGGGGAACAGTTGACAGTCTTCATCTTCCCCACTAACATGTTGTGTGAGATTTTGTACTGTGTTGCCCTTTCAGTAAAGTACTTAATTTGGGTCTGTGTAAATGAAAACCTGGGTCTTGCTGTGACTTGTATCTGCATTGCTTTTTCCACTTCTTGCTTATAGCTTCAGAAAGCTGTACACAACCTGTGTTCAGATACTGTGCATCTGTTTTATTTATGTCTATCAAAAATGCTGCGGAGAACAAACTGCTCTGTATATGCCCCTGTTAGCTATGCATTATGAATGCTGAAGGCAACAACCACCAAATACCAGTCAGGATAGCTGTTCCCATTTCTAAGTGAATTCTACTCTTGTTTTCTGTGTTGCTCGTTTGTAGTTTGGTCATTCAAGTGCTGTAATGATTGTTTAGCAAAACCTGATGGAGAACAAATTTTATTTATGAGTCTAGTGCAATACTTCCTATCCAGTATCTAAAAACTACAGAAATAAACCAAAACAGAAAAAGAAATATATCCTCAGCCCTTTTCAGTGCTGCACAATGTAATGAAATATATAGTTTTTGCCTCTCTCTGTTTGATCTTGAAACATTTCATGTTCCAGTGGAATTTGGCATTGCTGCAGAACATTACTGTTGGTCCACAACAAGTGGCACAGGGATGGAAGTTATTTTTAGGTGATATGCCAAATGCCACTTCCAGGCCAGGCTTTGGGGAACATGGATTGATAAATTTGACACAATATTGATGTGTCTACTTACAAGTCTTTTGTATAAATAATTAATCTTAAATGTCTGCATGCATCCAAATACAATGCTGGTTTAGGTTCTGGTGCAAAAAAAAAAAAAAAAAGAAAATGAAGTATCAATACATAGTATCTCTTGTGGGAAAGCTGTTCTGCAGGGGAACTATAACGTACACATATTTCTGCAGTTTAGGATAAAAAAAATAGGTCATCAAAAGGAAGTATTCATGCATTTGCAATAAAATAAAAAATACAATCAGTGTGTGGTGAAACAGACTTCCTAGAATTTATGCTATATCTGGTCAAAGTTATTCTCATCAGTTATAAATTTCCAGTGTATACGCATACCCAGAAAATATAGTAATTTGCCTTGAAGTCCTCTCCTTAAAATATGTATTGAGTATTCAGTAGTCTTTTGACATGCCTGGTTAGGATTTTGTGGTATTGAGCTGTGTTTACAAGAGCTTCTTCCCCCACCCCCAGCCTCTGTTCTGGAGAGATTTGAAAACCTAAAACATATTTCACAGTTAGAAACTGAACATTTCTAGGTTCAGAAATTACAGGCAAGCTACTGATTTTTTTTTTTCCGAATCAAGTACTAAAGATGAGTTGAGAATGTGAAAAAAATACATATGTTTATCTAAAGGCAAGCATTCATTTCTCTAAGTAGGTTGTCTGACCTACTTACAGATGACCTATTTTTACTAGATACAGTGGAGAAATATACACGGCTTTATTGTGAGTAGTCTGCATTGCCACATTATCCTTAAATCCTTTCAATCCTTTTACACAAATTATTTGTGAGGAGCAAGATAAGGTTAAATGATATACAGTGTGTGTTACCCTTTATGATATTGGATATATGTGAAATACATGTCAAGGACTTTGGCTTCAACTAGGCAGTCTAATTTAGAAGTTATAAGACACATAATAAGCACTTTTAGACTTGAGGTTGCATTTTCCTATCTGTGTTTTCCTTGAGAATCAAGTCTGATTAGAGTAGAAAAGTGTATTTGTCATTAAGGTAGACCTGGTGTTTAGTCTTTAATAAAATAAATATGTATAATTTACATATTTGTGTCAGCTGTCTTCTATTACCTCTGGTTTCTGTAAAGTTCTACCAGGATACATTTTGCTTCCTCCCATTACAATTGCTGGAAAATTGTTATACACATCTTAAATAAAGTTCTTACACTCTGAGTGTCAAGCATTCAACTAGGCTAAAAGGAAATGCATTAGGAGTGATTACATAGAATCCAATATATTTAGGGAAATCAGACACCTACAATCAGTTGGAGCAGAGGAAATAACATAAGGAGAGTTAGTATTTTTGCTTCATTGTTTTAGTCACCAGATAGATTGCCTTTGCTGTTGTTGGCTGAGAGACTCTTGCTATGAAATAAATAGCTGTAAGTATAAAGTTCAAAAAATGTTGGCCCCAAATCCTGAAAGTTAAGTTCCTGTTGTACTACTATCATTAGTGAATGTATAAACTTGAGTATAAGGACAGGGGTGAGAATTGTGGTTTTGTTTCCCTAGCACATGATGGTAATGGAAGATATGCTAAAGGACTTTCTGCTGGGAGAACATCTTCTTCTAGTTGGCAATCAGGTGAGTTACACATCTCTTACAATGCATGGAACAAACTTATTATTTAGTAATAAAATTTAATCTCTGTTTTGCTTCATTGAAATTGTATTCATTATATTTCTGTTGAGATATTTGACCCATTTTTTGATTGTTTATCTACTAGTTTCCATAGGGTTTATGTCCATGGTGTCTGTGGAAAATGTAAATGCCTTAAATGTTTTTTTTACATTGCTATCAGAGTAAGAATCAAAACATTAATAGTTACATATAACATCATTACCATTAAAATCCTCAGTTAATGGTTTTAGTTATTCTTCATGGCTGTGTATCAAACCTCTCCTTTAAAATCTCCAGTGGTAGATGAGGTCTACGCATAAGCATTGCCTGAATCTTATTTATTGATGGTGAAATATTTGTTTTGTCTAAAAGAGATACAGATTAGCTTTATTCTTGGGCTAGTATATTTATTGATGGAGATCATGGTGAGATCATGGGGGCTGCTGTGTGCTTTTAGTTGGTTGTTGCTGCTTTGTGACACCATCTAACAGTTTATAGGCTCCCCAAGATGAGATATGGACAGATCTTCTCTTTGTTCTTCAGAACTATCTTAAACTGTTACTGGAACTGTTAGGTGACTTGAACAGAATGATGCACTTTGCCAGTTAGCTCTGAAAAAAAAAAAAAAAAAAAAGAGAGAGCTTTTGTTACCTTCTCTATCATACTTTCCAAGCTACCAGGTTGGTTTTTCCCTTGTAAAGTAGTCTCCCTTTAGTTTAGCTTTCCCTTAGCAAGGATACAATAATTTTCTAGCAGATGTTTCTCTTTGCATTTTGCAGTAACCTTTGGAAAAGGTCTAACACAAAACACTAATGGTCCAACCTACATGGCAAGGATTATAAAATGCTAATTTTTATTAATGTGCATATATTAAAATTACAGTGTAGAGTTATATACAGTCTTATCTATTTAGAGTCCTTGTTAACAGCTTGAATTTGCTAAGATCTTGTACTTGAAACCTCTGTAGTCTTTTGCTGGATGATACCAGCTTCTTCCAGAGGGTTTCATCTATTCATAAATAGAAATGAATCTGTTTCATAAATGAAATAAAATCTATTTATTCTGTTGCATAAATAGGGCTCTCTATGACAGCTTCCAAGTCAGTATTGAAAATGTTATGTAGTACAGATTGCCTGCAGGACCTGCTGTTCAGGGAATAGCAAGAGTGGGCTCCACAGGGGAATGGAGGCAGGAACAGTGTCCCTAGTGACAAGGTTCACAGTCCCACAGTGTCCAAGCAAGAAGAACAGATCTGGGGACAGCAACCATGGTCAGCCAAGTGCCCAGCGGCTGCCAGACAGGTCTGTCCATGATGAGGCAGGTCTGAGGTCAAGCTAGGAAGTCAAGTCAGGAGGTGTCCAAGCTGGGATCAGCGACGTACAGAGCCAGGCACAGCATCGCCACGTTATAGGCTGGGAAGGAACACTGGAAAGGACCCGAGTGTAAATGGAGCTCCTAAGCTGTAGAGGGCAAAGGGGACCCCAGTGAGCCAGCTACACCATGTCAGAGCTGACCTTCAGCTCAGGCAAGTGAAAACCCAGGTGGAGGGGAAGAGCTTGCAGAACGTGGTGGTACAGTGAGGGCTCTAACACATGCTTCATATGTTCAACCAATCTGGCAAAAAAATTTCGAGAACTATGCAAGTATGATTTTTAGGGTGTAAAGTGTTTTCGAAGCAGTGGTATACTCATCTGTAATAATTTAATGTGTGCTACATTTTCTCCAAGCTTATGAAACTAATTGGAGACGATATTAGAACATTTAACTGGGTTGAAGTATTGAAACATACTGCTTTGATTCTAGACATCAGCTCAGCTGTACTATTAAATTGGAAAATTGATTGGCTTGCTGTGATTTCTCTTTGGCAGATCAGTAATACTTACGGGTTTTGTTTTTTAAGTGCTAACATACTTTCTGAGTGCTTCCAGGTTTATTCTGTACTAATTTATTCCACTGTTTTTTATGTGTGACTAGGAAAAGGCCAACTGGCCTTTTCTTTTTGAAATACTGTTTTTAAGTTTGAGCACTGTATTTTCCATTCTGCAGTCTTGTAGGACCACACCAGTCATCCTTTTTTTCTCAGGGATGGTCACTAACCATTTAGAAATTACCTGGCTAATTCCTTAAATAGATTACTGTGAACTTCTGTAACATGTGATTAATCCTGTTCAAGTACTTTAAAGCAACTATATTGCATCAATATGCTTTATGCTATATGTGCAGATACCTTCCCATTGAAAATATTAGAGTTTTAATCCTGTCTTTTTTAAAGCAAGTGATTAAAAATGCAGTATTTTGCTGTTCAGTTACTTCAACAGTGCAGTTTGCAATAAGAAGGTAGAGTTTTATGATTGCTTGATATGTATCTCAGTGTGTACCTGTGGCTTGCATTTGGAAGAAATAGATAATGTTTTTGTGTGGAGATACGAAGTGCTGCTTTGAGTTCCTTTCTGTTGTGCTTCTTGTTGGTGAATGAGTGAATCAAGGAAATTCAGTGTAAATAACTAACAATTCAAATACTCAGAACCTGTGTATTTCAAAATATATGCCTAACATCCCTTTGAATGACTGTGTCATTTCCTAGATATTTAAATGAGTTGGGATATGCCTTAGAACATAATTTGGTCCGTCAAAGTGATGACTATATAAGGGTTTATCTCCTTACAGCTGTGCTTGAATGTGCAGGGCTTGACTTGTAGTCTTTCGTTTAGAGGCTGGATTTGGTTTTGCTTAGTTGACCAGATTCAGTGTTCCTCTTTAGTCTCTTTGATTTTCGTAACGCAGGTACACACACCAAATTCCTGTTAGCTTAAGTCCATTATCTTTATCTCAAAGTCTGCAGATGTTGTCTCCTCTGTGTATTCGTTTTTAATTAAGAGCTGCCTGGTGAGAGTCCTTTTACCAAGAATGTTTTCAACATTTGAACTCTGACAGTTAGTATTTGAAATTAAGTAAATCAGTACTGAAGTTATCTTGGTGGATGTTAGGAACTAGCTTTCTTAATGAAACCAAGGACATGTTGAAGACAACTGTTAGACACTGGCAGATATCTATAGGAATGTTCAGCTTCTGAAGTGAACTACTTATAACCCACTTCATTCATGTATATTCCCTGATGCTTATATGTCCTGGGATTTCACAGTGTAAATGTATTCTGTGATATAGGGCTTTGTCTAAATTTTTTTTTTTATATTGGTTGTTGATTTATTTTGGATGCTAACTGAAATGTGCTTCAATTTCGTGTAAAAGCAAGCAGGTTTCTTTGGGTCCTTGGGCAAGGCAGAGAACAGATAAGAATTTTCAGCCATGAAGTAGTTTCTAATTAAAGGAAATGACAGTACCTTAAATATGGCTTCTGTTATTGCTTCCTGAATGAGCCTGGAGTCTCAATGTGAATGAGACCACCTATGACCATGTATAGTTTCTCAAAGCAGCTATAAAGCAGTTTCTTCCTTGGCTGAGAGTAAGCTGCTATTTGTTATTCTCAGAGAAACAGGCAAATAACAGCAAGAGTCCTGTTTAGTAAGGGTTACTTATTCTAAACTTTTCAGTTACTGTTTATTTAACTGTTACATATAGCTCTTGTTATGCGATGATTCCCAGGCTTCATGAACCAGACTGTAGTGTTTGTTCTTGCTACCAAGGAAAATTTTTAGGCTATGTTTTTGTGAAAGTTTTCCGGATGAACATTGTGCAGTTCATGGATTGGCCACTACTTGGTATCTTTTACTGTCTCCTTGAATTTCCTATCTTTGGCAAATAGGAGAGAAACTGTGCTAATGAATAGAATTTGTTTATGTGAGAAAAACTTGAAAAAATAGCACTGGCTGAAACAGTTCTGTTTGTTCTCACAATTTTAGATTTCACATGTCACATTTCCCAAAGTGTTGCATTTGGAAGTTGTATAGGAGAGGTGATGGATGTTTTCACCTTCATTGGTCATAGATGAAGTCTTGACAAACAGCTGTCTTTGAAGATACTAAATAAAACATTCATAGTTTTTAGGGATTCAAGGCTTTTTGGAGAGAGAAGGTTCACAGCCTTGTCACTTTTGAAGAATTATTTTATAGCCCTGAAGTTCTAAAACACCTAACCACATGTTAAACAAAATTGAAGTATTTTATTTGGAATTATTCTGTTGCGATAAATTTATAGCATGAGCTGTTCAGAGACCTCATCTTGTAAATTAAAGGTCTGTCATAGCAGTGAATCCTGAACATTTCTGGTTTTAGGGCACAGTTAGCACACAGGATGTATTTAGTTAAACAATTTGTGTTCATTTTGGTCTTAGAGGTACTCTGTTTTCATTCACTGTATAAATATGGTATAGCTATAAATATTGTAAGTAGAAATATAGTATGTAGATATCTTTAAAATATGCTTCTACCATGATCTGTTGTGAGTTATTTAAAACAGCACAACTGCAGTTTTATGTAGCAGGACAGATGCACAGAACCACAATTGTCTTACCTTGCTGGAAGGATGGAGGTTTTATTTAGCCTGACAGGGCTCTGGGTTCAAAGTTATACTTTAATTCTGCAAAAAAGTGTAATCTCTGCAACCTTATCTAGACCTGTAGTCAGAGATGTATCCAAAGCATTCAATTCATGACTTCTGTCAGGGAATTAAGTTTATGTGTTCTTATGGTGAAATTTTATTCTTTAATGTCACCATAATTTTTGCATGCCCCAGGTGCATAATGGAATAATGACATCCTAAACCACAGATTCATCACAATAGTGAATGCTACATAGATTGCATCTGGAGCAACACTTAAATCACCTCTGCTTTTTTGCAGCTATTTTCCTTTCTTACTAACATCCAAGCAAGGCAGCAATGATGGGGTCTGTTACAGTGGTCCTCTGGTAGCAATGTCTAGTGTCTGCTGGTGGCACACCTTCTGCAGTTATTACACTGCATTATTCACATTTGTTCCAAGCTACAAGTGATGAGCTTAATAACAC